CGTGCGTGCGTGCGTCTGTCTGTGTGTGTGTGTGTGTGTGTGTGTGTGTGTGTGTGTGCGCGCGCGCGCGTGCGGGCGCGTTATGCGTTTAATCAGACGGCTAAGCTAATGAAATGCTAATGTGCTTGCGTTCGAATGAAAAACAGGCAACGACGTCATCGGCAGTAAAATTTTACAAGTCATTAGCGCGACATTGGCTTTAATTATACTCCGATAATTAATCCGTGTGGATGCGCTTGATTGCGTTAACTGCTCAATCGTATAACACCAGGTTAGAATAATACTTAAAGCCACAATATGCGCATCTACACGCTAATTTCTTCAGTACTAGACTAGCAAATACTTCGTGTCATGCATAATCATACTACCTTATGACAAAGTAAACTCTAGTTCCTCCCATTTCACTGCCAAAACACCTCCAATGTTGTGCAAATTTTCCGATGTTGTTGACACTTTCGCGTTGCTCTGCCAAGCAACCGTACAGCGGGTGTAGCAAAGATACCCTATTATTACTTTCCCAATAGCCATTGATGTTACATACACTGCAGTTCACAATACTACAATGTAAACGACTATATTCTCTGCTCAACACCCGTAGCAACATGTGATGTCACTTAACCGATTCTGACGAAATTGTTTGACAAACAATTCGGCGTTGGCGCCAGATTACCAGATTTCGCACCTCTTTCTTGTGGGTTTTAAGCAAACGCGCAGTGAAATGGGAGGAACTAGAGTTTATTTTGTCATAAGGTAGTGTGATTCTGCATGTCACGAAGTATTTGCTAGTCTAGTACTGGAGAAATTAGCGTGTAGATGCGCATATTGTAGCTTTAATATATAGTTAATATGCAGTTCAGGCCGTGTCGTATTCAATTGCGTCTATATCAGTGGACTGCGGTTACGTTATTGGGGTAAAACGGTTAGGGTCGACGCTGATTTAAAAAATGTATACCTGTACAATGTACCTGTTGGGTCCATGTTCATTGAGTTACCCATAAGTAGTTGTGATAGCGTATAGTAATAAGTACTAATAACCGTAGGTAGACTACGGTTAGTAAATGAGAATTCTTGCTGATGTGGCGTGTCATACTCTCCTACTATATATAATATATATATATATATATATATATATATGTATATTATATATATATATATATAATATATTTGCGTTTGAATAATGGGTTGTGTTTAATCATTTATACGCATGCATGGTGGATGTATTATGGGATGCGGTACAAGGTCGTACAGATTTCCATAAATTGTCGTGCGTGTATATGCGTTGTCGTTGGGGGAAATGGGACAGCATTTTGCTGTAGTGATTGCACGCAATCACCCACATTCGCTCTGTGCGAACACGGTAATTAAGTTCTCCTGGAGTGTAGCCGACATGCAGCGGTCGACGTCCGTGCCGTCGCATTAGCATCGCTAGCCGTAAGATAATGAGGGAGTTTGTTGAGCCACTCGTGGGTTTGCCGCCGCGCAAAGCTGCTGTTTATTACGAAGAATAGATAATTATTGCACGAATATGTCGCTCATTTGTGATGAACTTCTCTATGCCCTTGCTATTGTGTGTATGTGCGTGCGTGCGTGCGTGCGTGCGTGCGTGCGTGCGTTCGTGCGTATGTGTGCGTGCGACTGGGTGCACATTCAGGTGTGTGGGGACTGTGTGCACGTGCGCATGTGTACATATAAACGCCCGCGTGCGTGCGGGTGTGTGCGTGTGTGTGTGCGTACCGAACCATGCGTGCGTGCGTACGTGTGCGTGTACGTACGTGCGTGCGTGCGTGCGTGCGTGGGTGGGCGCGCGTGTTGGGCAGGCAGGAGGAGGTATACCGGTAAGTGGTGGGGGTTTCGTGTGAGGTCGTTCATCGCTCTCGCACTGGCAGCCCTGGAGGCTGCCGGAGAAAACGTGAAAAATTATCGCTGCCATTGCGATGTTCGTCGTACGTGAGTCACGGCTGTCAAAACACATGTTTTACGCGTGGGAAATCATCATTATTCTGCAGAGCAAGCCAGGTCGCGGCAGTTTCAGAGAATACCTGTTATTAGTGCTGCTGCGCGCAGCGCTATTATAGTAATTTAAAATAAAATTCACCGCCAATGTCCGGCGCTAGTACGTGTTTATGCGCACCTCTCTCTCTCTCGCTCTCTCTCTCTCTCTCTCTCTCTCTCTCTCTCTCTCTCTCGCGCGCGCGCTCTCTCTCTCTATCTATCTATCTCCTGCTCCCCTCATTTTCGTTCTCTCTCTCTCTCTCTGCCTCTGTCTTTATCTCCCGCTGTTTCTCTACACCCCCTCTCTCTAAACCCCCGCTATCTCGCGCTTTTTCTTTCTCTCTCTCTCTCTCTCTCTCTCTCTCTCTCTCTCTCTCTCTCTCTCTCTCTCTCTCTCTCTGTCGCTCTACCTGTATATACTCATATACTCTACTCTACTCAGTACAAGTACAATATTACAGTACAGTACATACTCACTACAGTACAATACTCTACTAGCTTCAGTTTATCGGGGTTTCATATACGGCCAGCTCGCCAGCCCGCCGTATATGTACGTGCACGTACGAGGTACTATAAAATCAATGCAGAGCTCAATTTGCGCAGCGCGTTATTCCCGCGCCGATGATTTTAATGCGAAAACGTATTTTCACAACTATAGGTGCCATGCTTATTCTGCGTGCAGTCACCATTAGCATCAGCTGCTAAAACGTAATAATAACACGTAATAATAATAATAATACCGTCGAATGACATTATCAATATTTTTCCTCTCGATTGTTTTTTCAGACACGCTTCGCCGCACGCCTCCGCAGTTTGGCTACGTCGATAGTGAAGCTGCTATACCCTAACCCCGGCAGGAGCGACGTAGAGTGGGGAGGGGGATGCGTGGCAGGATGACCGTATAAAGCACGGGAAGCGCGCATCCTGATACAACCAACATTCGCTAACCTGCGTGGTCGCGTGCGTGTGATGCGCGTGCGTGTGCGTGTGCGTGCGTACGTGGACAGTTAGCCATCTATATACCTGCCAAGCCCTCACAGCGCGATCTACTCCAACCTGCACGCGAAGGTTCGTGGAGTAAACAGGATACAAACCAACACATATTATCTGTATGTATATGTAACCAAGAGCATATGAACTCCAGGTTTTACATGCTTGTGATATAACTCTCATAGCCGCACCGCTCACTTCGCGACTGACAACATGGATAGTTTCGGACGCCAGGTCCGCTACGAAACCAGCATCCCGGCGAAGACGGGAGGCGACAAGCCGTCATCCGACGTCATCTACTTCTCCGTCAACGGCCTCGTGATATCGGACAAGGAGAAGCCGGAGCCGACGACAACGATGACGATGACGCCGGCGCAGAAGATCAACGATAAGTACTGCTCGCTGGAGCGACTCAAGCGTCCACCGACGACACCGACGACGCCGACGACGCCGACGACGCCGCAGCCGGTAAACGTCGTCTACGAGACGGTCTCTCCCGTCAGCTCCGTGTACGAATCAGCGAAGGGCATCATCATCTCTCCCGCCCCCGACGACGACAACGACGATCATTACCACAACAACATTAGTCCCGATTCGCGACAGAAACCGTTCTGTTGGCCGCCCAGCGAACAGCCACGGCTGGCGACGCAGAACGACAGCGACGTCGGCCGCCGCGCGTCGCTGGACGTGAGTTCGCCGAACGCCGTCACGCGGTCGGAACTGCCTGGAACACTCGTGTACGAGTTCATCACTCCCGCGCCTCAGACGAGCACGCTGACGCGCGCGCGACGACAACCCGAGCTGCCCGTGTCGCACGACGTCGCCGAGAGAGCGATGCTGGCCGACCAGCAGACGATCCACTACGACACGGCCGACTACAAGCGCGCCATGGAGCAGCGGCAACGACTAAGCGCCGAAACGGACGCGAACGGCGCGAGAGAACGAGGCGGCGGGAGTTCGAGCGACGAGGTCCCGCGCAGCGACGATGGGAGAGACGCAGAGAAGACGGGAGCCGTGGACGCAGGGCCGCGGCACGGCAAGCTAGACGACGCCGACTGCGTGCAGATCGAGACGTTCTACGGCAGCCACAAGACGCGCGTGTTCGTCTGCAAGTGCGACTGCAAGCTGTACGCGTGCGCTGCCGAGAACCACGTCGTCTCCGACACGAAGAAGCCCTACTGCGTCGGCGTGCCCGTGCTACTGCTCAACCTCGGCGACAGCCGCGCCCGCAAGGAGCGCACGCTCAGCCTGCTCTTCGCCGAGCGTGGCACGGGCTTCCAGCTGTGGAAGACGATGGTATGCAGCTTCCTGCAGTATCGCACCGTGCGGCAGGACTACCACACGTTCTCCGCCGACGACGGACTGCTGCTGGCGATCCGCTTCTCCGACAGCGCGTCGGCGGCCGAGTTCGCCGGACTCGTGTCGTCGCTCGCCGCCGAGATCCGAAATCCGGAGTTCACCGGAACGCTGACGAAGAAGGGCAAGAAGGGCAAGAAGGAGACGAAGAAGCTGCGAAAGGCAGAGATCTCGCAGCCGTGCTGCTTCCAGCATATCACGAGCCTCGACACGAGAGACTCTGTCCGCACCAAGTCGCTGCTCGGCGGTGACGATGGCGACGCTTGAGTGCGTGTGTCTGTGCGGCGAAGACGAGGAGGAGGAGGCGGAGGAGGAGGAGGAGGAGCAGGAGGAGGAGGAGGGGAGAGGATGTGAATAGAAAGGATGAGAAGGGCGAGGAGGAGGAAGACGAGAAGGAGGGGCAGGAGGAGAAGGGAGGGGAAGGTGGGGAGGAGGAGGAGAAAGAACAAGAGGAGGGGATAGAACGAGAAGGAGAAGGAGGAAAATGAAGAGGAGCTATGGGGTGGAAATGATGAGGGAGTAGAAGAAGGGCAGAAGAAGAGGGAGGACATGGCAGGCGAAGAGGAGTGGAGGAGAAGGTAGGGGGAGGATAAAGAAAAGGAGAAGGAGATGAAAAGGATCAAGAAGAGTGGGAGAAGGAGAAGCAGGCTGACGCAAGAGCGGCTGAATGACTGAGAGATGAAACCGTGACGCACAAACAGCTAAGCAGAGGCTTGTCTCGCCGCGTGTATATAATCCCACTCACTAATCCTCAGCACTTCGCGGAGTCGCACGCTGTTGGCGCTACGGGCGATGTGCTCACGCGATGTACGGTCTGCCGAGTAAGGACAGAAGACATGCCTGCCTGCGGCGCCGCGTGACAACTGATAGTTTTACTCTTAATGTGTTGATGAGAGCGACTGATCCTCTTACGTCTGCTTCTAGCCAGGCAGCGTCGGCAGCTATTCGGACTGTGTTAGATTGAGACGGAGATCACAGGCACGCGCGCGCACACACACACACACACACACACACACACACACACACACACACACACACACACACACACACATGAGAGAGAGAGAGAGAGAGAGAGAGAGAGAGAGAGAGAGAGAGAGTTGCTCACAGTGCTCTCTTGTCGCCTCTCGCGGCGAGCAGTAAGTTACACTCTTATTTTGAGGGCGGCGGGGGGGGGGAGTTCGGCGGCCGGTTTTCCGCGGATCGGTGATTGATGTCCGACTCGCTCGCGTTTTTGCTCCGTAAATATATTACCGCCGCACCCGTCATCATCAGATCCCACCCTACAGCAAAGCTAGCAGCCAGGAGCTCGTAAACAGGCAGGCCGGCCGGCCACAGGGCGGGCACAGACAGGCTAGCAGGCAGGCAGGCAGGCAATCACGCAGACAGACAAGCAGGTAATAGGCAGGTATAAACAGCACAGCAAGCAGCAAGCAGCAGCAAACAGCACAGCAAGCAGGTATAAACAGACAGGCAGGTGCCGGGCAGAAAGAAAGGCAGGCAGGCAGATAGGCAGGCAGGCAGGCAGGCATGCATGCGGACAGGCAAGCAGGCAGGCATACAGACAGGCAAGCAGGCAGCCCAGCAGGTAGACAGACAGGCTAGCATGCAGGTGGGCAGGCAGGCAGGCAGGGGGATAGGGCAGGCAGGTAGACGAGCAGACAGGCAGGCAGGCAGGAAGGGAGGCAGGCAGACATGCGGACAGACAGACAGGTAGGCAGGCAGGCAGGTGGATAGGGCAGGCAGGCAGGTAGACAGGCAGGAAGGGAGGCAGGCAGACAGACAGGCAAGCAGACAGACAGGCAGGCAGGCAGGCAGGTAGCCCAGCAGGCAGGCAGGCAGGCAGGCAAGCAGGTAGCCTAGCAGGCAGACAGGTAGCCTAGCAGGCAGACAGGCAGGCAGGCTGGCAGGCAGGTAGATAGGCAAGCCTACGGTCATGACAGCGTGACTGCACACTGACTGCATCACAGCGGCTCACTCTGCCTGTTCGCACTGACACTCACCGACGACGTCGAATTAAAGCTGACATTGAGCGGTTCTCCAATTAGCATTGCTGCATTAGCGTTGCTATACTCGCATAGTCTCTCCTAATAAATCTGTCACAATCGTGTCTTTGAATAGATGTTATTTTAAAACTTTCCCAGGCGCGCGCGCATGTACGCACGCACGCACACAAACAAACAAACACACGCAGCTACGCACGCACACCACACACGCACGTACACACGCACGCACGCACGCACGCACGCACACACACACACACACACACACACACACACACACACACAACGCACACACATATACGATACACTCATTTTATGCACGCACGCTACTACACAGACCATTGGCCGACGCATCGTTCCAACGAGCTCAGTATAGCCGTTACACACACACATAAACACACACCACGCGCGCGCGCACGCACGCACGCACGCACGCACGCACGCACGCGCATATTAAAGTAGATGCCAACGAGTTACGGTGCTGCATGCTGGCGGATGTAACGTGCTGAGCCGGCTCATTCCATAGCTACGAATGTGAATATACATGCACAGAGGATATATCAGCGACTCGATCATCTGCCTCCTAGATGGAATTCACGCATCGATTCGTTGACGTTTCAACTCGCGCCAACCAACTAAGCGGCTGTATCCACCCACCATGTCCTAACCATAGGTATCTGTATACACGCATCTGTGTACATGTATCTATTACATGTATATTTATCTATATACATGTATCTATATACATGGATCTATTACATGTATATTGATCTATATACATGTATCTATATACATGTATCTATTACATGTATATTTATGTATATACATGTATGTATTACAGATACATCAATCTATATACATGTATCTACTACACACATGTATCTATTATATACATGTGTGATGTACATTGTGTCTATATACATTATGTACAGTTATCTGTATGTATGCATGTATCTATGTACATGTGTCTACGTACAGAGATATACACAGATATTCTTTCTCTCTTTCTTTCTTTCTGTTAGCTCTTTCTGTTAGCTAAAACACCGTACTACATGTGTATTAGTGGATGTCTATGGACTCAACCGCGTCTTGCCAGCGCGCGTTGTATCATTAGCGATTGCCGGACGAGCAAATTCTCCGTGTAGCTGTAACTGTAAGTAAGTGGGTGGTTGTGCGTGATTCACGCCTAATTCACTAGTCTTGCACCAACCGCGAACCGTCACTACGTGCGTACGTGCGTGCGTGCGTGCGTGCGTGCGTGCGTGCGTACGTGCGGGCATGCTTGCGTGCGTGCGTGCTTGCGTGCCTGCGTGCTAGCGTGCATGCTTGCGTGCGTGCGTGCGGGCATGCTTGCGTGCGTGCGTGCGAGCGTGCGTTCGTGCGTGCGTGCGTGCGTACGTGCGGGCATGCTTGCGTGCGTGCGTGCTTGCGTGCCTGCGTGCTAGCGTGCA